AAGTAGTGCAAAGGACTTGATGCGAGTATAGAGTCTGTGTGTGTATAGAGTGACGTGGGTTACCTCAGGCCGTGGGTGGGCAGGTGGGGGTGTAGGCGAAGCTGTTTGACAGTAAAATAGTCAGTCTGGCGTGAACGCTGATTTGAGAGCAGTTTCTGTGACGTTTCCATCCTCCCAGCATGACAGACGGAGCTCAGCAGGCACTGAGGAGGATCATGGAGATCTACTCGAAGACGACGCGCTTCGCTCTCGCCTGCAACGCCTCCGATAAGATCATCGAGCCGATCCAGTCCCGCTGCGCCGTGCTGCGCTACTCCAAACTGACCGACGGCCAGATCCTCGTCCGGCTGCAGGAAGTGGTGGAGAAAGAGCGCCTCTCAGTGTCCGACGATGGACTGGAAGCCATCATCTTCACTGCGCAGGGAGACATGAGACAGGTGAGGGGCGGAGCTTAGTCAGGCGCTCATCCCAGAGGTTGAACATGGATTTTCTGAACTTGTTTTGGCCTTTTCTCTCCAGGCGCTGAACAACCTGCAGTCCACTCACTCCGGCTTTGGCTACATCAACAGCGAGAACGTGTTTAAGGTGTGCGACGAGCCCCACCCCCTGATGGTGAAAAGCATGCTGGGACACTGCGTGGACGGGAACATCGACGAGGCCTACAAAGTCGTGGAGCAGCTGTGGGCGCTGGGCTACTCTCCAGTGGACATCATCGGGAACATCTTCAGGGTCTGTAAGACCTACCAGATGGCCGAGTACCTGAAGCTGGAGTTCATCAAGGTGAGTTCATCAACGGCGCCGAAAAAAATCAGCTGATCGTGACAACTTGTAAACCTCTGGTGGTCCCAGCACATGGCAGCTGCTCTGTGAAGGCAGATTTTTATATCAGCATCAGCAGTTTATAAAAATAAATAAAGCCCTTCACTCGTACGCCGCCATTATTGTTTTCAGAAGTGAGTTCGTAGGCAGGCGTCGTTATCTGGACTCATTTACCAAACATCGGGGAAGAGCAGGTAAGCAGTCCGTGTAGAACTACGCTTATACATCACCACAGTAATTCAAGGACATTCCCGTCACAGCATGATGCACTTTTGAGATTAAATATATAAACAGAATTCAAATATAGTGTTTGTACAAGATACGAGTTGAGAGTGTAGTTGTTCTGTTTTAGTATCAGGGCGTGTCCAAATTCATGGGCTGCTTCCTCCTGAGGCCGCATTCGTAGACTGATTACGTCACAGCGACGCGCCGAAGGCTGTCCAAATATCAAAAAACATCAAATATCTGCTCGGTTTATCAAGATATCGCATATTTGCAAAAGTGCTTCGATGTTTTCGGAGTCGTCTGTTACCCACCAGCTCGATCGCTAGTCGGGAGCTCGAGGGTCACTGGAGCCGCCGAGAACGGCACAACTCCGGCACATCATGTTCAGATCATCGCTGTCTTTCGCTACTCAGGTTAAACGTGATATATAAGTCACTTAGACAACCTACAAATGTTACTGTTTGGCTTTTTCAGTGTTTTATTCGTGAGTAAATCGGTTTGGCTGAGATTAAAGTTCTAGTTTTCACACAGCTGAATAACGTCAACCAGAAAACTGATTAAACAGAAGTGTGAGACATCGGGGGGCGAGCAGGTAGAACTACATTTATACACCACATTCTTGACCGAGACGGTCAAGAATTTACGCCAGTGTCCTGTTATATTTTTAGATAGCAAGGAGCAGACGGCTGAGTTCATTAAACTCCACCGAGTCAGCGGTGACACAAATCTGAAGGCGAGACCGTCCCATTTCACAGCTGTTTACTTTCGGCCTACCTGACCTTCTGAGGACCCGGCCCACGTAGACAGAGAAGGCTGGGTCCTCAGGAGGATGCAGCCCATGAACTTGGACACAACCTCAGATGTTAATGCTAACAGAAACGTGTCTGATTGTGCTGCGAACAGGAAAAAAAAGAAGTAAACATTTGTTAGTGATCAGGCAAACACAAATTCCTCAGACGCTCCTGCTCTCCCAGCAGAGAATCGTCCAGGAGTGATGACAGTCTTTTTCTGGAGAATTGATTGGTCAGTAGACGATAATTTCATACCTGTTGGTCTGCAGTATAAGTTGCCATGGCGATTTACCCCATTAGGAAGCGAACCACCTTCAGAGTACACAAACCCGAGAGTTAACCCTAATGTTACTTGGATACGGTGAAATCCTGCCGCGTGGAACAGATGCTGCTGCTGACCCTGAGCGCGTCCTTCTGTGGCCGCTTCCTCTTTTGGTGTAACTTCTGACTCAGCTTTCACTTAAACGCTCACGTTAAATCACTGAAATCTTTTACAGTTGAGTTCCTTTATTTCATCACGTTCCTCGTGGAGCGTCAGCAGGTTGCTCAGGACTCTGCGAGGTACTTGTGTGTCAGTTACTGATTCACTGCACCAGCTCCTTGTTAACTTCAGAGTGGAACTCCAGATTCTGGAAGGTCCTGCACGGATGAGGATCAGCATACATCTGAGAACTTTTACATGCAAACGTGCCCAGCAGGTCTGTGAGATCATGTGATCAGGGTCTGAGCCCTCTGCTCAGAATAGTAGCAGAGGTCAGATTTATTAGTGTGCATCTGACGGTGAGGTCATGTTTTTCTGTTTACCCACGCTCACTCAGAGGAAACGCCTCACTCATTGCTTTTTCTTCCTCCTCTGACGTTTGTGTTTCAGGTTCTTGAGGCTTCTGCTTATTTCTTATTTTTAAGCACTGAAACCAACTTTCAACCAAAGGTTTCTTCCGCAACAGAACAGGAAGTAAAGTCTCACGCTGCTGTACAAAGATCCCTGTTAGAGCACCAGATGTGACTGAATTTCCCTCCTGAGTCACCTGACGGGGAAATCCCCTGCTGACTGGATGGATGGAGGAGTCACCCGCGGGGGACTGTCAGCACTGTTCACACACTCTGGAGGTTTTCTGTTAACTAGGGGACGGGACTCAGAGCTGCTTCTCTTTGCAAGGCTGACTTGTAATATTCAAATCTTTGTCAGACTGTGACTGTGAGCGGCACCCAGGCATAAGTCAGCGGCTGCTAAGCCACGCCCATGCAGGATGTGATTACTCAGTGCTCCGGTAGAGCAGTTGAACGCCTGTTTACTCTCACTGGGCTCACGTACCGCTGTTTGTTTTCTAAATTTAAATTACTGTCAACTGTGCTGGTTCGAGCAGCTGTCATCTGCTTTCCTTTTCAGCTTCCTGTCACGCAGAGAAACAGGAAGGACGATGCTGCTGTCTGCTGGGTTGCTGCCTTGGGCGGATGGTGGCCACTTGCGTACATCTGAGCGCTCAGGAAATATGAATAATAACTGAGGAGCAGTTCTACTGATGGCTACTGATTAAAGGAAAGCTTAAACAAAGTGCTGAACATCATTGATGGACTGCTCTGGTAGCACCACAGGACAGGCTGACAGACGCCCCGCTGCTGTTACAGATCTGGATGTTTTAGGTTTTCGTAGTGGGAATTTTCCTGAACTTTCTGAGCTCAGGCACCCAAACACTGATTTTTACCTGGATCGTGTTCCTGAGGGCAAATGTCAGAGCTGAGATATCCAGACTTTCCTCTCCACAGCCACCTCCTTCCCCGGAAACTCATTCCAGCTTCCATGATTTATTTATGTTGACCTGTTCTGAGGTGAGGAGTGAAACGGCTTCACCATGACCGACCGTCTGCATCCATCAGTCCCACTCATCAGCTCGTCTCTAGGCAGAAACCTGTGAGCACTTTATGGCGTCGTTTCGGTCTGCTGGAGCATGAAGTCGAGCACTGCAGCAGCTTCAAGCTGCTGCTCAGTCTGAGCTGGAGGAGCTCAAGTGTTGAAATCTGCTTTGTAGAAATCTCTGTGTTTACTTTTTATTCTAAATAATTTCTTGAAGCAAGTCTTGGCTTCAGAGCTCACGGATCCTTGTACATTTTAATTTCACTGGGATACTCTTGGTGTACTTTCAGGCTACTTTGAGTTGCTTTTATATTTTTTGTGGGAAACATCTGAAGTTATTAAAATACAAACCAACTTTACCAGGTCAGATGTGTGACTGAAGTAAAAACTGTTGGTAATCTGAGTATTGTGACTGATTCTTCCGTTACTATACTCAAAGGTAACTTCATTTAAACTCTCTCATTTCTGACCGTCTGAGTCGAGCAGGCGTGCAGTTTCACGCTTCCTAAAGGTTTCAGCTGTTCCTTTAACAACGACTCTACACGCAGATTCGTCCCATCTCATTGTTTCTCTGTTGCAGGAGATCGGCTACACCCACATGCGGATAGCTGAAGGCGTGAACTCCCTGCTGCAGATGGCTGGTCTGCTCGCACGGCTCTGCAGCAAGACGGCGCCCGCCGCTGCCAGCTAAACCCCAGCGACCCGCCGAGCGCGTCGAGGCTGCCCGCTCAGTATCAGACTTGTTCACTGCTGACAGAGTCAAGACTGTAACAGCACATCACGCATTCCTGCAAAATAATGTAAAGAAACTTAAAGCTGCATCATTGGATTAGATGTTCATCGGTCAGGGTTTGTCTTCTGCTGCTTTCTGGTTTGTAGCTGTGAAAAAAGTTTTAAATTCAAACCTCAAAAGCTGTTAAAAATATTTGTTGCTGACCAGCAGAAGTGTTCTGTATGCTTTGAGATCTTTGAGAAAATAAAGGTGAGACTGTTGTGAAGGTAAACATGAGATATCACTGATACTTATTTGAACCTGTAGGGTCTACCTTACAATATAAAGCGCTTTGAGGTGACTGTTGTGATTTGGTGCTGTTAAATAAAATGTAATTGAACCACAGAGGACATAGAAAGCCCACAAAAGACCCCTACTTGAATCAGAATCTCTCTCGCTGTGGGACTATTCTGGACCACGTCCCACTATGGACGTGCCACTAAGCTTCATTGAACAGCTGATTTATTTCCAGTAGAATCTGAATGTGAGTATTTTTAGCCACTAAAGAAAAGCTGAGACGCTCGGCCTCGACCGTGTCTCTGGATAACGAGTTTTATTTCATTACAAACCGTGTTTACATCGTGGAACATCCAGTGAAACAAACTTCTCTGTAACAGAACCGCTACCAAAGCTTCAGTAGAAATTTCCAAAGTAATACACAAATGAGTGTAATAAATACAACAAGGACAGAACCACAGTCAGAATATAGAGAAGAAAGGAAGTGAACAGTTTATGGGTCGACCCTGCTGTCGCCGCCAAACCTGAATGTTTCATAAGAGTCGACATGAAAAGCTGCTGACAAACACTGGCGTTCGTTTCCTGCTGAATCGTCCAGCAGGGGGCAGCAACACCACGACCAAGGTCACCCTTTGGCCTCGGCTGTATTTTCCATCACGTTCCAAGAAAATGTTCCTTGAAAGCTGCAGGACATTTCCAAGAAAGCCAAACAGCCTGCTGTCAACTGTAGGAGAAAAGCAGCTTCTCAGTGGGTGAAAAAACCCTGGTTCATTCTGTTTCTTTTACACATCAGCTGTTTGTTTCCAGTAGAAACGCCTTCTGCCAAGTGTGACACTTTTATTATGCAGTGAGAAAACTGACAGCAGCTCCCATCTCATGTCTACAACATCTACGTACTGCAGAGATCTCAGCCAATGCTGAAACAAGGCTGAGCTGTACTATCACGTAATACCACTTTGATCCACTAGATGGAGCCGTGAATCAGCGTTAACATCTGTACAGTAGTGTTTCTTTCACAGTCGTCACAGCTTTCTGGTAAAACACCGCCACCTTGTGGTGAAGGTTTTCATTAACATTTTTTCCCCAAAAAACAATTCCTACAAATAACCAGAATCCAAGAAATGCTCCAAGATTTCTGCAGCAACTACGACCACCTCCATTTCCTGGTAACTTGTCCCGCATCACGTCGGGCTGTCTTGGGAATGGCAACTTTTTGGTAAATTCTAGGAGAGATTACCTGGAAAATAAAATCAAGTGTTCAGATAGCGTAGAGTGTCCTGGCTGTGGTTTTATCAGGATGGGGTCTCCTGTTTTTCACCCATTCACCCATTTCTTTTAAACCTTTTACAATAAACACAGCAGCGCCCCCTGCTGCCAGCTTCAGCCTAGAGAATCCTCATCTGAGGTTTGGTTTGTTTCAGATGGAGAGCAGCAGGTTTACAGCTGAACAACATCTCATTACTCACTACACTGACACCACGGCACAGTTTGCATGCCAACACTCTACAAGGAGCATGCTGTGGACGGGCCGAATGAACCGAGCTTCAGAGACGGGAAAGCGAGGAGACTGTGGAGGTAACAGGCAGACTTCAGGATGTTTCGCTAAATTATCTGGAAAAAAATCTCTAAGTTGTTTTTACACTTGAAGCTCAGGCAAAACAAACTGTACGGCCACAGAAAACGAATAAAGAAAATCCCGTTTAAACATCAGCAAAACAGCATCGGACGAAACCAGCTCAAAGTTCAGTCCCACTGACCTTCATGTTTTAATGTGTTTACTGAGCTGTACCAGGACCCGGCTTCATGGTGCACTCTCACAAACACCGAGGGAACCATTTAGGGAACCGCAGCTCGCGATGCCGTTTTTTGCCGTTAAACCAGGTCAAACTCGCGTCACAGATCTTCTGTCAGTGCGATTACAAAAATACATCTGGGTCGGAAGCACATCCACTTTGTAATGGGCACCAAAGAAGGGTTCATTTAAGAAACGAGCTTCATATCAACCAACACCACCAGCAAAGATAAACAAAATATTGATTATATAAGAGTAATGACTAAAAGAAGAAATCAGGAGTGAGAAAGGAGCAGTGAAGGAACACAACAGCTGTGTATACACACAAACCGACTGACCTGTGTGCAGTAACGCCTACAGAGCGCGGGAAAAAGGAGCCAACATGGCGGCAGCTAACACCGAAATGTTTATGACATCATTCAACGAACCCTAAACTCACAGGGAACAAATTTAGAGAACAGGCAGCTGGAAGTGAAGCTTTTGAGAGCTTTCTATTTTCAGGAAAAACTTTTACAACTAAAAGAAAGGAAGGGTCTGATTGGACGAGAGAACTGCAGGTACACAGAGGAAACGGGAACAGTCCTATGCAGTCATTTCAACGGTGTGTACTGCAGTGTTGTCAGGCTCGGCGCAGTTGGCGCCCTCGTTGGTGGTGCTGCGGCTCCGGACGCCGTCTGTGGAGCCCACGCTGGAGGCCGAGTGAGTCCTGGAGCGAACCAGCCGGGTCATCCCCGCCGTGGGCACTGAGGGGGCGACACAGATGAAAACGCGTTAGTGACAGAGTAACAGAGGGCGGAGCCAGCGAATGTATGAGCGGAGGCTGATTTGAATCGTCCGCGGTGAGCCGAGCCGCTGGATTCAAATCTGATGACAGTCTGTTCACACTGAAGCTTTGTCCTGTCATGCGTGACGCTCACTTTACACACAGACGAAAAGAAGCCGCTGTGACACTCAGGCCTTCTGCACAACAGGAAGTCCACGTGTTCTGCTTTCACCCCACTGCTCTCATTGACCGGACGGATGACTACTTTTCAGGAGGACACGACTCGAAGCTAATGGTCCAGTGTGTGGGCTCCCTCTGCACGCTCCCTCATCTAAACACAAGCCCTGCGAATGGTTCAGGTGCAGACTATCACCTGCAACACATCCTGACCAACTCTCCAGCCCTCCGTTCATGTGAGAAAACTCACTTCGACTTAAGCGAACACAGATCCATCTGACTGAGTCATGATTGTCCTGCTCTTTCTCTTCTCTGAGTGTCCCGGTGTTATGATTAAACTGTGTTAAAAGTGACACTTTCAGAGGTACTTCCTTTTGTGCAGCATGTTTCTGACGTGCTGAGGTTTGTACAGCAGTGGAAACAAAGCAGAAGAGTTCACAGGAAGTGTTGGATTCCTGCGGTGGGACAGGTGTGTTCTCGGCCTCATAGCTTTCTCATGTCACAGTGTTTTCAGCCTTTCAGACACGAGCAGCAGCTCAGAGTCGAGCCCGAGAGCCGACAGTGTGAACAGAGAGATGTGCTGGCATGCAGCGCACCCTGCTGGTCGCTCACTGCAAAGGAAGAAAAACGTCAGCGTGATCAGCTGATCGACAGCATGCACACACATATGAGGGGGAGGACGATGGAGAGGACGAGAGGGGTTCAGATTCTGGTTGGAATCCTGATACCTGATTGGCTGCTGACGTGGTGTAAAGCAACATGAGGGACTGGAGGAAAAGAACAACAGAGAGAAACAGGAACAGAGAGGAAGGAGGGCAGGGTGAGAAACCAACATGCTGTAGTTTAATATCACACACACACACACACACACGTATCAGGTGTGTGTGTTTACAACAAATCCTAAGGCAGGTCATGCTGTGCAAACTGTTACTTACACAGAAAATCTAGTGAAGCTGAGCTACAGACGGACAAACAGACAAAGACACGAGTGTGAGGGCACCACACGCTGTGTTAGTCCTGCAGGAGGAAATGTCTACAAACGTAACGCACAACCACTGTGGGCGTGTGCAGCTAGCCAAGACCTGTAAACGTGCTGCCATCAGACATGCTAGCTGCTTAACATATTTACTCATTCGTACAGGATAGTGATGGGAATTCCGGCTCTT